CAACTGACCGCACACACCATGACCTTCCTGCTGGACGGCTTCGAGACGACGGCCTCAGTACTCAGTCATATGCTTTTGCTGCTGGGCAGAGATGAGAAGGTGCAGCAGCAGCTGCGCGAGGAAATCGAGGCCCACCTCAGTGCCAAGGGCGTCATTGACTTTGAGAAGATCAACGAGTTGCCCTTCCTGGATGCATGTGTCCAGGGTGAGTCTGAGCTTATACTGATGTGAAACGATGCCTAATTAACTTTTTCTCACAGAATCCCTACGTCTCTTTCCACCCGCCTTTATGTCGAATAAGCTGTGCACTGAGCCCATTGAGTTGCCCAACAAGAAGGGCGAGAATTTTGTAGTGGAACGAGGCACCACGGTCATTGTGCCCCATTATTGCTTCATGTTGGATGAGGAATATTTCCCCAATCCGCAGGCCTTCAAGCCGGAACGTTTCATGCAGCCCGATGCTGTTAAGATGTACCGAGAGCAAGGCGTCTTCATGGGCTTTGGTGATGGTCCGCGCGTTTGCATAGGTGAGTGAAGCCTTCTTTCATTTATGTTTTAGGCTATGATTAATTATTATTTGATTTGCTTGATTCCAGGCATGCGCTTTGCATTGACACAGATCAAGGCCGCTGCAGTTGAGGTGCTCACCAAGTTCAATGTGCGCGTCAATCCCAGAACCATCAAAGATAACGAGTATGAGCCAACGGCATTTATCACGACCTTGAAAGGCGGCATTTGGCTAGACTTTGAGTCGCGCCAATGACGGAAATATATATAGCCAATCAACCTTCAGGGGCATTTCACTCAGCAATAAAACGTGCACAACGAGCTCTCGCATATCAATTGACTCATCATTTAGCGCACAATTTGAGTGCATAACTTTCACATTTTGATGTGAGAGACAGTGATACAGTCAGCCATGACAATGTGGGGAAGTGGGTGCAATGATAATGTATGATAATAGCTTTATTTTTTATTTTCATTTTATTGTGTTTTATTACCCTTGAACATTTTTATTAATGTAATAAATACTATCAATATTTCAGCTGGCAATCGAGCGTAATATTACAAAAGATTTCAAAGAATTTCAGAGTGCAGAAATTATAAAAAAAAAAAATGAATATGAATAATTTCAATTTGTAGTAATTATTTGAATAACACTATATTTATGGTAATATATATTTTTATAGCAGCCAATTTTGCCTATTATGTTATGCTATTGAGCTTTGCCAATTAATGCTATGGCACTGCGAGAAATAAACTAAATATAATCACATGGGATTGGATATAAAATAGTTCTATATGCTTCTTAATACTCAAATACAGAATATAATAATAATAAACGATAATAAAAAATTTGTGGGGCAAGTGTTTAAATATCTGGAATACTCATTAATTAAAATTTTATCTGTTATGCCCATTAAAAATAAGAATCTTAAGAATACGAGCTCAAAGTATTGATATCAGTATTATCAATAGACAAAAATATCAAGAGATAAATAAGAGAAAAAATAAATATATAAATAAATACTTAACGTTTAGAAAATTCACAAAACGTTTTAAAAATTTCATTTATAATTTATTTTGTATACAACTATGAAAACAATCAATAATTTGCTAATTGCAATGGCTTTTTTTCTGAGGCTTATTCGGTTGGGCATGGTTCGATGAACTCGACTGATTAGCCAGATCAGGATAATGTAGACTTTATGGGCTCTGCTTCTGCGTTTTGCATAGTCTGTATATAGTATGCCCTATATAAAAAATAAAATCAATCTATCAATAATAATAATATTCCCATTTCCAATATATACAATACAAAATATTATAAGAATTCGCCTTCGTAATATTTCAAATCGCTTAGTGAAAATCATTATTATTATTATCATTTTAATTTGCTTTTTTTTTTTTTTTTTTTTTTTTTGCATCCAACTTAAATTGATATTTATTTTATTTATGTTATTTTTACCAACTCACAAGAATATTAGTGGACCAGAGTATATGCGTCTACATTCTATATATGTACTGTTTTAAGCCTCTAAAATTGTATTAAAATAATATATTGTAATATTCCAAGAAAAACATTTCAACTAATATACCCATTTTTTGTTATATGGACGAGCATACAAATTTCATCCAGAGTACATTTTATAAATCTAAAATTTTAAGTCTGTACAATTACATTGAAATAATCTGTTGTGATACATTTTAACCAATATACTCCTATTTGTTTCTACGCAAGAGCATATATACATTTGATTGCATCGATTACTTAAACTAGTCTAACTAACTAGTTAAGTGAGTGGACTTTAGTCACAGCACAATTGGCAGTCGTCACGTCTGAAAGAGTTAATTAAATATGCAATTGCAATTGGCAATTGTTTCACTTGCAGTACAACAATTTAAGTTTAACTGCCTCAAATGCAATTAGAGATGCAAATTTGAGGGCTCCTAAGATGCGAAACTAATTAAATCAAGCCAATTGCAGTTGAGTCTAATGCTCTGCATTGAGCTGAATGTAAAATGTCTGGCGGAACATGTCTGTCTCTATAAATATATTTGAAGGTATATCAAAGAGGTGCAAAAAGCTTCAACTTACAGACATCAGGCAGCTGTCTGCACTGGCTGAGCTCAAAGTAATGAAAAGTAAAAGTTGATTGAACTTCTACGATGTGATGTCAACAGCTGCTGATGATATATATGAATATATATTTACAAACATACAGTAGATATATGATAGCGAGCAAACTGTCTGACAGACTCAGACTACATTGGCAGGTTCACAACTTATCGCTGCATAATTTTTGGCGCCAGGCAACGACCATCAACAAGAACTAAAAATATGTGTATGTATGCCGAGTAGATTTATGTTATTTATTTAGTAATTTATTCATGTCTGGCAAGCGCCTGGCACATGTTACTTGTCAGCGTCAAATCGGTCGAATCGCCCGATCGCCTGACTGTCACTCAGCCTGGCATTTGTTTAAATCACATTGCCATCGTTTTGGCACATCATTTACATACATAGCCAGCTAATGTTAGTCAAAGAAATATATATATTTATATATTTTCGTAAAGTGCTCAAAGCTCAAATTCAATTCAATTAATAATGTGAAAAGTAGTTCAATTTGAGTGAGTGAATTGAGTGTGGCAAATCCAATTGGGAAATCAAAGGCACACACATCAAATTGCATTAGCCGAAGGCAGAGCAAGGGAAAGAGACAGACAGCGAGTGAGAGAGAGGAATGCGCTAGCTAGATGAACTCAGGTGAGAGTTATGCATATGCATTTTCTCCAGCCCGGCCACAAACAAGTCCAAGTTCAATCTGCAATTTGCTGCGGCTCTGATTTGGCAAATTGTTTGCAGCAAAAACAAAAGGCGAAGACAAACCCCGGCTTTGCCTAACCGCCAGCACTCCTTCTCCTCTTGCCCCACTCCATGGCAATTTATACATTGTCTGGCTGTTCGGCAGCCTCCCCCCATTGTCTGTTGCTCGCAACGCGCCGTTTGCTGCTCAAAGGTTGAGCGTAGTTCAAATTGTTTGCCAGGTGTTTTCCCAGCAGCACTTTTTCTTGGCTATTTGATCTGTGATTGAGCTGAATGAGCAAATAAACTTGTGGCTGAGCCTCGACTCCGGCTCCGGCACCTGCTCCGGCACCCACTGCACTCGACGGAGCGTTGAGAGCAAGCTGCAAAGCTGATTGAGCTCAATGGGTTTCCACTTTTCGCCTGTTAGGTGTCTGACTTATTATCTGTTACTCTTGGCTCTTGGCACTTGGCCCTGCGCTGTCTTGATGCCTTTGTTGATGTTAAGCAAGCTGATGTGCAAATCCGCAATATAACCAAAAGCTGGGTAATTGCTCAAGTCGATATCAACTGAATTGTAATGCAATACGTTCTTAATTAACATCTTTGCTGAGGAAGCTCTTTATATTCAGAGCAAATGCTATGCGCAAGGCAGTCGTAATACAGAAGCTAAGCTATTTAAAAGGACGAGCTGAGCTTAGGTCTTTGCTTAATTACTTTAGGCATATTAATATTATTTTAAATTTATATTATTCATACACACTAATTATTATTAATATAACAATTACTTTACATATTTATATTTAGATGATTAAAGTTGAGTGAAAAAAGAT